CATGAATAGTATGCGCATGGAAAAAGAGGTGCGCCATCCACTGGGGCTTGTAATAACACCACCCCAATAGCCACGTTGGATGCATCCATTTCTACCACAAATGGACGATGGGGATCAGGATGCCTCAAGATTGGTTCTGCAACGAAGGCCTTCTTGATGGCCTCAAAGGCCTGTTGCTGTGGGGGGCCCCATTGGAACGGGACCTTCTTGCGAAGGAGCTGGGTAATGGGATCCGTCAGCTTGGCAAAACCCAGGATGAAGGACCTGTAATAATTTGTGAACCCCAAGAGACGTTGCACGTCTTTCACTTGACGAGGGGGTTCCCAATTACAAAAAGCCTCTACTTTCCGCTGGTCCATGGCAATGCCTTTGGGAGAGATGATATACTCCAAGAACTCTATGGAAGTCTGGAAAAAGAGGCATTTCTCCAGCTTTGCATAGTGTTTATGCTCCCGAAGACGTTGTAATACCTGGCGAACTTGGTGAAGGTGGCTGTCCCTGGACCTCAAATAAATCAAAATGTCGTTCAGGTACACCACCATGAACCGATCAAGCATGTCCCATAATATATCGTTCATCAAATGCTGAAAAACCGTGGGGGCATTGGTCAACCCAAATGGCATTACGGTGTATTCAAAGTGGCCATAACGGGTGCCAAACGCCATCTTCCATTCGTTCCCCTTGCGCATCCGCACCAGGTTGTAGGCCCCTCGAAGATCGAGCTTGGTGAAAATAGTGGCCTCCCGCAACCGCTCCATCAACTCTGGAATGAGCGGCATTCCTCACCATAATGGCGTTCAACCAGCGGTAGTCACAACACAACGCAAATCTCCCGGCCGGATAAACCCCTGGGCCAAGTTCTTTTCCAAAAACTCGCGAAGAGTGGCCAATTCGGGCTCAGACACAGAATATAGGCGACCTTTGGGTAGCGGGCAGAAGGTCCACGGGACAGTCATAGGGTCGATGCGGGGATAACCGATCCACCTCCTTCTCGCTAAAAACATCGGAGAAGTCAGATAGTTCAGGAGGTACAGAGACGGCGGGGGCGGCAATGTCCTGGCCAGCACAGGTGTGTCTTAGATGGTCCACACACTGGAGGCTCGGGAACGAAATGGTGTTCTGCGCCCAAGCCACCAGAGGATCGTGTAACCATAGCCAGGCCATACCAAGGACCAAAGGGAGATGGAAGTCCGCAGTGATGTAAAAACTAATCGCCTCCTCATGGTCCCCAATAGCCAGGTGCAATGGCTAGGTGGCGAAACTAATGGGCCCAGTACGAAGCTCCCACCAATCAATCGTTTCCACCTTGATTGGAGGCTCCACCGCAACCAAAGGGACATCAAAATGAGTTGCCTGGTCCATGAAACTAGTAGTAGCCCCCGAATCCACCAACGCAACTGCAGGAATCCCCTCCGACCAGGACTGCAAGAAAACTCTCGTGTCTAAAAGTAAATGTCGAGGGGGACCAGAGTTCACCTCTGCCACTTCAGGCAGTTGACTAATACATGCCCGACCTAGGGTTTCCCCGAGGCCGGGCCTGCCCCGTTTCCCGACTGTACAAGGTTAGATTCAGGCACTGGTTTGCGTGCCCCCCGTCGTTTACCAGGGCAGGAATTTGCAAAATGTCCAGGCCCCCCACAATACAGGCATAAGCCTCCTTGAAGTCTCCAGATACGTTCTTGGGCCGTCAAACGAGGTCGGACCGCACCCAACTCCATCGGCTTCTCGGCCCTGGCCATGGCACTGTGAGAGACCTGGGGCGCTGGTTGTACAAGAGGCTGTGGCCTTGAGGTGGATGGCTGTTCCGGAACTGGGCATCTAGTCTTGCGCTGTTGAAGCCGGGCATCAATGCGCAAACATTGCACCACCAGAGCATCAAGGGTCAGGGCCGGCTCCACGTGCACCAACTCGTCTTGTATATCCTCTGCCAAACCATCTTGGAAGCGTCCATTTGAGCTGCCTCATTCCATGCAGAATCCATACAAAGCAGACGAAACTCTGAAATGAACTCTTGCAAGGGGCGTTTCCCCTGGCGAAGTTCCTTTAAACATCTGGCAGTGGTCTGAGCTTTTATGGGGTCCTCATACATCGAGCGTAGATGGTGCCAAAAGCCCTGATAGTCAGTTAGTAAGGGACTATTTTGCACCAATAAAGAAGTGGCCCACCTAGCAGCCGAACCCGACAAAAGACTAATAACAAACCCCACCTGAGCCCGGTGATCAGGGAAATCTTCTGGCCGCAGAGACATAAATAATTGACATTGCCCCATAAAAGCCGGGAACATTTCAGGCTGTCCAGAGAATTTATCTGGCACAGCTACTGGGCATTTCTTACGTGGAGGGGGGAGGAGGTGCAGCAGGAGCTTGCAGCAACATAACAGGAACGACAGAGTTAAATTCCTTTGGCTGAATCCGTCTTTGGCAGTTTTCCCAGAAGCTGCCTACCAAGTCCAATAATGAGCAAAACCATAAATCAGAGGCGACCGCCACACAGAATAATTCATCCAAACTGCTAATGCAAATAAACAAATTGACCCGAACAGGGATTCAGAGCTAACACGCCTCCTTATAATCCCTGAGGGGCGTGTCAGTCTCTCTTTTTTTTTACGTTGCATGTCACGTTTCTGCCTGCGTCTTTGCCTTGCATCAGACCAGCATTTCTCAGCTTGATCTTCAGCCAATGACTCCGGCACGCTGTCCTGATTATCTGCCGACACCTGAGGCACAATCAGGGAGGAAGATTCTGGGGAGGAAGACGACTCCGAAACTTCCAGCAAAGCAGGCTCAAATCTTAGAGCCCAGTCCTCCTCTTCCTCCTGACTCCTGTCTGTGTCACTCAACAAAGTAGGCTCAAACCTTAATGCCAGATCTTCCTCATCACTCGAGCCTATGTCTTCTGACAGAGCAGGTTCAAACCTCCGAGTCACAACAGTTACCTATCCTATATTTCCTTGCACAGCGGATTGCTGCGCCTCAGCTGAGCTTAAGAACACTTCAGGCAGCTATCCAGTCCTGACAGAGCTCCGTATTTGTGCCCTCTGCATGCGCACAAAGCACACATATGGAACTGCTAGGGAACCATTTGGAAACCCACCACTGCATGGCATTTGTTCTTTCATGGCAAGTTTATTGGTTTCAGAAGTTGTAGGTGCTCCATCACTGGAGGTTTTCAAGAAGACACTTTACAGCCATTTGTCCAGAATGGTATAGGGCTTCCAGACTGAGCAGGGGGTTGGACTAGAAGACCTCCAAGGCCCCTTCCAACCCTTTTATTCTGTGTCAGAGTCTCACAGCCTTTCATGAAGTAGTCAGATTACATAACAGATTAACAGAGTTGGAAGGGACATTTTAGGTCATCTAGTCCAACCCCCCCTGCCCAAGCAAGGAGACCCTACACCGTTTCTGACAGAGGGCAGTCCAATCTCTTCTTGAAAGTCTCAAGTCTCAAGAGTAGCCAATGTCTGGAATACTCTACTTGACTCTGTGGTTTCTTCCCCAAACCCCAAAAACTTTAATCTTAGACTGTCTTCTATTGACCTCACCCCTTTCCTAAGAGGCCTGTAGGAGGCGTGCCTACCCTCCCCGTCCTATTGTTTCTTTTATATATTTTTTATTTTTCTTATATATACTTATACCTATTATCTTGTAAGCAATTGACAAATAAAAATAAATAAACAAATAAATAAATAAAATAAAAGTGATGAAGCTGCCACAACTTCTGAAGGCAACTTCTCTTCCATGGGTTGATTGTTCTCCCTGTCAGAAAATTTATCCTTATTTCCAGGTTGAATCTCTCCTGGATCAGCTTCCATCCATTATTCCTTGTCTGGCCTTCGGGTGCCTTGGAAAATAACTTAACACCCCCCCACACACTTTGTGGCAACCCCTCAAATATTGGAAGATGGCTATCCTGCCTCCTCTGGTCCTTCAATAGACTAGTCATGCCCAGTTCCTGTAACCGTTCCTTGTACGTTTTAGTCTCTGAGCATGGGCAAATTCCAAAAGGGGGAAAATTAGGAATGAAGCTGCAGGAGGCAAAAGACTTGAAAAATGTTAAGAAAAAAAAACAAAGCAAATGTTTAGCACTAAAGGAAACCCACTGATGTGCTGCGCATAATGCAGAAGTTTACCAAAGTTTTTTGGGGTGGGAAGGGGAACAAAGGATCAACTGCAGGGAAGTCCAAATATCCAAGGACTGAAGAACTGGGTACCCAACAGGAAAGGCAAAACACACACACACACACAAAAGTCCCAAATGTTCCAAGTTGGAACATTCCCAAGGAGGATTCTTGGGGTTTATTTTCTTATATTCCTCATTTGCTCATTCATTTACTGTACTGCATCCAGTTTTGGTCACCACACTATAACAAAAATGCTGAAACTCTGGAAAGAGGGCAGAGAAGAGCAACCAGCATGAGGAGGGAACTGGAGGCTAAAACATATGATGAACGGTTGCAGGAACTGGGCCTGGCTAGTCCAGGGAAGAGAAGGACCAGGGGAGACAGGAGAGCATCTTCCAATATTTGAGGGGCTGCCACAGAGAGGAGGAGGGAGTCAAGCTATTCTCCAAGGCACCTGAAGGCCAGACAAGCACTAATGGATGGAAACTGATCCAGGAGAGATTCAACCTGGAAATAAGGAGGAATTTCCTGATAGGGAAAACCATGAACCCATGGAACTTGCTTTCTGTTTTATAATAGGCTGCGCTTCTTTAAAATGTCTCTGTCACAGTGTCAGCGTTGTGTGAATGATTGTGGATTCTTACAAACCAAGCCAGAGTCTGCTTATCCAAGTTGAGTGCACCAAGTTCACACATGGTAGAAACTCTGGTTTGCAAATGCCAGCAGCCAAGTTGCCCGTTGAGGCAAGGCCAGTCCAAACCAGCTGCCTTCCCCATGTGTGAACCAGCTGACCTGGAAGGGTTTCTGGGAGGGCCGCAGAGAAGCATCTCTTGGCCTGGGGAAGGAGCGGTGGCCCACGGAAATGGTTTCTCTCTTCCAGTATTATTGTTGCAAGAAGGATGAGTCGGAAGAGGACGGCGATGAGCCCGACTTCCCTGCGGATTCGCACATCCCGCCCCTGCACTGCAACCGTAACGTGGCTCTGACCAACGGCCCCTCCTTGTACCGCTCCCCCTACAAGAAGCCCTCCCAGTCCCGGACTGGCTGCCCCAGCTGCTCCCAGTATGAGCCTCCAACGTTCTTCCTGCAGGAGCCCGAAGAGGAGGTCCGCAATGGGGGCGACCTGGTCAACTACAAGGCCATTAGCCAAGAAGACTTGGAGCTGCCCATTGGCCTGAGTGGTGGCCTCCAGGCCCTCAACCCTAACCGGCTCTCTGCCATGCGCGAAGCCTTCTCCCGCAGCCGCAGCATCAGCACAGATGTCTGACTGGCCTGGTTGAAGAGGCCCTGTCTCCCCCTCGGCTCGCCAAAGGCTGAAGACCACTTCTGCTTCCCAACCTCTTCCCCTCTCGTCTTGCGTAAGCAAGGAGCATGGCTGCCTTGGTAGAGATTGTTGTTTTCTAAACCCCAGTAAAAGCCGCCCTTCCTTCCTTCCTTCCTTCCTTCCTTCCTTCCTTCCTTCCTTCCTTCCTTTAGATGAGGTTTTTGATACAGGACATCCTTTTGTATAAATACGCAACCTGGTTTGTCACTCTTCAGCCTGCTGCAAGCTGTGGCCTCTGCTTTCCCTGATGGGTGGGGGTGGGGAAGGAGGCTGGAACTAAGCCAGAGCCAGGTGTTTTTGCAAATTGCTTAATGCAAATCCAAATTAGCTCCCTCTACTCTGCAGTGTCCCCACTGTACATTCGGTCCACTCTACAAAAGCCTCACAACCGGTGTCCCCCGCCCCCCCTCGAGGGAGGCCCTTCCTTCCCCTGGTTGCTGCCAGAAAGGTATTTTTAATGACAGAAGAAACATACCAGGCACCTGGTCAGCACTGGTCAGTCCACTATGTCCAACTGAGATGAGCTCAGCTTTAGTCTCTTTTTTGTTGCTCGGTGAGGGAGGGGGGCTGCCGAGGACCATGAAGGTGTTCGGTTGGCACTGGGGGGGGAGGGGGGGCAGGACTTCCCCATTTTGAACAGTGGTGTTGCCCGCTGCAGGACTTCCTCTATCTCACCTGCAATGAAAAGCACCAGAGGGTTTTGCCAGCCAAGCCAGAGGCGACTCTGCTGTGAGCTGGGCCTCTTGGGCTTTGTCCCCCGTCCTAGCTTCCCCTCTGAGTGTCCAGGAGGCAGACGCAGAGGGATGCAGAGCACAAGGCAGTTCTGCAGGGACAGGCCCTTCCTTTTCTTTGGACAAAAAGGGCTGCAGCTTGGAGCTCCCAGCAGTAAAATTTAGTGCGGCGGCATTCACAGTGGCAGCTTCCCTCGACCTGCTTCCAGGCAAGTGGGGTCTGTCTGTCTGTCTGTCTGTCTGCCTGGGGTGTCAGCAGGGAGATAAGACTTAAAAGACAGGAGGACAGGCAGCCTTCAGAGATAAAGACGGCTGGAGACCTGAGATAAGGACGGCTAGTCCACCCCACTGCTCCCCCAGGCCTTTGGGTCTGGAGGCAGCAGTGGGATAGAGACTGACCCATAGGGCCCACAGGAAGATGGTTCCCCTCCCTGCAGGATCTGACAGTGCATCCAGGAAGCTTGCAAAACTGGCACTCACGAGTTACGTGCTGGGGACGATGGAAATGCGACCTGTAGGAAGAACGGTTTGAGTTGGGCCCTTTGAGTCCAGCCTCTTCAAACTCCTCTGGAAGCGGGCACAGGGCATGAGAGCCCAAGAGGCCAAGGGCCATCTTACAAGCAGCAGAAATGGATTCAGAGACGAGTCAGTAGCATCACTGACCCAGGTGGATTTTTTTCCATCTAATTTGAAATTAATGTTCACGTCTTGCTTTGGCTGCATCCAATAAAATGCATTCATGTTGGTCTTCAGTGATCTGTACTAGTTGCTGCTTCCACAAAACTATTTTGTATAATTCTTAAAAATTTGTATTGGTTTCAGTGGCACTCTTAAAAATGCTACAATTTGTTGCTTATAAGTATGGCTATTTATTTTTCCCCTTTATATATATTTGAAATAAATTCAAACAATTTCATGAATTTTCATTTACCTTTACTTGTGATAAACATGTACAGGACTTCTGGATTCCGAAAATAATAATAAAAAACTTATCTTGACTTGTCACCAAATGAAGTGTTTCTTTCATGGTATTTAAGAAAATTCTTTCACATCTTTAAGAAAAGCGGGGAGGGGAATACGGGGACTCTACAGGGAGGGTGGCAAAATGGGGGGGACTCTTTTAAAACTGGGGATTTAAGAAATGGGGGCACCAATTTCTCTTTTTAAAATTCCCACCTTTCCCCCCAAAACCTGGCCCTCCCACCTAAATTCCCACCTGGAATTTAGCATTGAGATGCCACACCTGCTGAGCATGGAGCCCCTTCCTGTGGCATCTCCTCTAGAGAGATTCCTTCTCTTCTTTTGAATCGAATTGAAGAGTCTATTTGGCCAAGTTTGATTAGAAACACAATAAAATAATAATGATGATGATGATGATGATAAGAAGAAGAAGGAGAAGAAGAAGAAGAAGAAGAAGAAGAAGGAAGAAGAAGAAGAAGAAGAAGAAGAAGAAGAAGAAGAAGAAGAAGAAGA